GCTCAGGGAAGTGTTGGATCCAGTGGGTGCTACCAGCAGGAGCAGCACTCAGCCCACTAGCTGCCTGCCCAGGCAGCCTACTGCCTCAAAGGGAAGGACCAGGGGCCCCCACAGGTCAGGGGCCACTCAGTCAGCTGGCAGCTCACATGGACAGGCTTCTCTGGGGAAAAAAAAAAAGTGGCAAGGGACCCAGTCCTTTTTTTTCACAGATCCTGTCTGTGATCAGGGGGGGAGCTGCCAGTGGCCCCTGAGCTGTGGGGGGCCCCAGTCCTTCCCTTCCCCAAGGGGACTGCTAGTGGGCTGGGGCCTGCCCCAGCTCAGAGTCAGCACCCAGCCTGATCTAAATGTTGCCCAAGCTGGCCCACTCACAGCCCCTGGCCCACTGGCAGCCCACTTGGGCAGCCCTGGGCGGCACTGCCACTATGGAAGGAAGCACCAGGGCCCCCCTACAGCTCAGGGACCACTTGACCCACTGGCAGCTCACCCCACAGCCTCTGGAGAGGCAGCCAGGCATTGTAGATGTGGGGGAAGGATTGGGCCCCTTGCCATAACAGTGATGGAAGCTCCTAAATTGAAACAGTGGGTCTTTAATCGTCATAATTAAAAATCCACTGTTTCAACTTAGGGGACTAAACCCCTGTCACATGTACAAGCGCCCCATGGGACCCAAAGTCACAACTGTTTATCTAAACCACTTCTGTAATACTCCAGGAAAACTTCTGCAATTTCAGTTTCCCAGCTAGTTCCAATTTGGTCATATCTCAACTCCAATTTAGCATTTGGTTTGTTTCCAAATGGTTTTCAGTTTCTGTCCAAGAGAAGTCCAGAACCTGAGTAAAATTAGACAGTTATGGGTAGGCTTTCCCCGTTCTGTTTATTTTACTCTCCTACACACTTCACTGAAGCTAGTAGACCTGAGATACTTTACACCAGCTGAGGATCTGATTAAAATTATAATGCACATGCACAGACCTATTAAAAGCTTCAAGATACTGAATTTCTAACACATTCCTTTCTCTTAGGTATCCACCTGTTTCTATAGCTATGATCCATTTAAAGAATGGTACAGTTGTCTGCCCTATAGAACTCAGGATACAAAAAAATTTTCTGGGCGAGTGGTGGCATTTCTTATTGACTATCAACAGGACACTGCAGTAGCTCTTATAACTATTCAGGTACAGTATGAAATCAGGGACAGTATTTGCTATTCTGAGCCTCTGAACTTTAGCTATTTTGATTCAGTTGCCCAACCTTCTTTGCCACACTGTTATTCTGTTAAGGAAAACAGTTTTTGAGACAGGATGCTGCACAGTGTTGATGAGTAGTTAAAGCAGGGGACTGAAAAAGAAGAGATATGGGTTGTATTCCTGACTCCAGCTTCTCCATCAGTTAAAAAAAAAGGGGGGGGGAATCTGATAATTTACAGGAGTGTAGCAAGGATGAAGTCCTTCTGTGAAATGCACCCCAGTACAGAAGTCCAGAACAAGCTTATTGGAAATAAGTGGTTTACAGGCTTTATGCTGCACTTCTGGATAAGGGTGAGTTTTACCCTAAGCATTTGGAGATCTTGACTGGGATGTGCTACTGAAGTGGAACATAGAAATAAAAATGCTGCTAGTGTGTTTTTATCTACTATTCTTTCTATTAAAATGGGTTCTTCCCTGGCACTGAAAAAGTTATCTCAGCAAATGCCTTTTCATAAGCACCAATATTCTGAAGAAGAAAATACAACATTTAATTCAAATTTGCAGGCTATCTTGAAGCCCTGCTAGAAATACCACACAGCTGTTCTTATTCCCAGCTCCTTTTCCCTGCATCAGAGGTAGTTCTTCATCTTCCAAATATCATAAAAAGCCTTTCCCTTAGATTACAAGTAATAAAAAATGTTTGTATTTGATCAATCAGTAGAAAACAAAAATATGTTCCCAGGCACATGATAATATGCTTGTTATTTTATTCAAGTTCTATGTACTAGCTGCTGTCTCCAGATGTAAAATTAATTATCAACTTAACTGTGCTGATTCTAATACTTTGCATGCTAGTAGTTCTGTTAGCTATTGTTAATAATATTGTTATTCATTTTTAGAATAAGGCAAAGGTTTCGGTATACAAGATAACAGACCACAAATTGCACACACGGACAAAATTTCCATCATTTTGGTTTCCAGATACTAAATTTTTTCCTACTGGAATGTTTTTCCATCCAAACAGTCACTTTCTCTATGTTTATGGAAACCAGGTGAGTATGCATGGGAACAGACATAAGGTTGATGACTTGAGGAGGAAATTCTAATTCTGTTTCCTAGAAGTAATTTTATCAAACTCTTACTAACTTCAGTGGAAGCAACCCAAAATATCAAATTGTCACAGATTTTCTAAATGTTTGAAAAAAAAATTACTTTACTTGATAGTGCTAACTCTGCATCCCTTACTTGCACTGAATGGTTTCTGTGAATGCTCGCATTAAGTCACAGTGGATGTGTCTACACAAGATGCTAACTGCTCAGTAGCCTAGTAACATTGTGCAGTAGCGTGCAGGACAAAAACCATGCTAATACACTACTGCGCGGTAGTATTAAGCTACTGTTCAGTTAGCATCACTAAAAAGCTGTGTGCTGGCGCTATTTTGCAGTAGCACCAGTTACTGTGCATTGATTTAGTACTTGGTTATACAAGTACTAAGCGTAATGCATGGTAACTACAGTGCATTGATGAACATGTAGACACCCAGTGAGATTTTGCAAACTGAGGTACTATTCAGTATGAGTCAGGTTGTCAGAATTAGGCCTTAGAGAGAAAATCATTCATTTTAATAATGGGGAAAACGTTAAAGAAATATATTTTAATTTTGCAAGATGCAAAGATTTCTGTGGGTAATATATTTCATTGAGCCAAAAGCATGGTTGGGATAGATTTAGACAAGCTTTTGAATACAGCACTTTCTTTTTGTCTATCTATCAATCTTTGAAGACCACTTCTCTACATGTCGAGCCCATCCTGATGGTAGCTTGCTAAATGGATTCCACCTTTCCTCCCATCACTGTTTGTTTCTCCAGCCATAGACAGTGATGACAGTGGCAGGCCCAGTACCCACCTGACACCCATTGAGAACAGTGGTGGGATCTACTTTGAAATCCTTTTCTGCATTGTAGGCACTGTATGTGTGGGCAGTCAAAGTGCATCATGCCCATCCCCCAGCTGCTTATCCTGATGTGACCTGGAGGTGGCACCTAGTGGTAGCAACACCAAAGCAAGCCTGCCTGGCCTGGTGCACCCCATATGAGCTATCCTTCACCAAGAGAACTGGCAATCTCCAATATTTCCATTTCTTGGTCCAGTCATGTATCACACATGAATTTGGACAGTTAACTTTGCAACAAAATGTTTATATTGCACTGGACCATCAAGGGTGCATTCTGCAACATGAAAGATGAATAGTTAGTCTTGAATATGTAACTCCATAAAAGACATGAGGGAGGGGGTTTCAGTCTCTAGTAATTTAGTGTTTTTGACATTCAGAAAACTACGGGCCTCCATCAACAAGCTTGTAATGACCAGATCCCAGACCCAGTAATTCAGATTCAGGGTGAGACTGGTGAAGGTTGAGTATTTCCCATACCTCAGAGGCCACCTCTCACAGAAGGCTGACATTGACAAAGAAATCGAACATCGCCTCAGATGTGCAAGTGTAACAAGTGGAAACAAGTATCTGAAGATCATAGTATCAGATCCTAAACCAAGCTCATGGTTTATCAAGCAGTTGTGATCGCCACGAGCATCAAGACAATGATTATCCAACATTAATTTTGCTGGGCTGGCCACCTCATCTGGAGAACTGACTCCAGACTTCTGAAGCAAGTTTTATTCTCCCAGCTCAGTCAAGGTATACACTCAAGAGTAGGGCAGAGAAAGCACTTCAAAGATATCCTCAAGGCCAACTTGAAAAAATGCACCATCAATATCAACTCTTGGGAGACTATCATCCAGGGCTGCCTGAAATAGAGGAAGAGTCTAATGCAAGGATCTCAGTACTTTGAAACCTTACAGGAGACAGAAAAACAGAAGTGGCAGAAACAGTGTGTTGTAGACTGAACCAAGAACTCGAAGCCACCCACCCACACAGAAACATGTGCCCAAGCTGCAAGAGTCTTTCGATCCCAGATAGGCCTTATCAGCCATCTTCAGACCCACAAATAAAGCAAGCATGAAAGATAATCATCCTTGACTGTAAGGGATTGCCGATGATGATGATAAGTGTTTTTGTTGCTGACAAGTGTTTCATGCTTGGCCCCTAGGAGGGGGCTACACTGTTTTTGCACTTCCAGCCTTTTAAAATATTTTTATAATAATGGATTAAAAGCAAAAGTTTTTCTTATGCCATGCGTTATTCTTAAATTACTTATGTACAAAGTATAGATATCAGGAAATCTGCTATCATCAGATAGGATCTAATATCTAGAAACATCAACTCCTGGATTTTGGATTAGCTTGGTATATTTGTTGTATATTTGTTGCATCTCTGTCTTAATAAAGAAAGTATATTTTTATAATTTGGGGGCTGGTGTCTCTGCCTTGAGTATACCAATATTCAATTAGAAGAGTCTCTATAGTGAATCTGTCTCCAATTTAAATGAAGGCAGTAATTTAAGAGTGCTATTTGGTTTTTTTTTCCCTAGGTATGGTTTTCTGATGATGGAGGCAACACTTTTGTGCTATTATTGAACCTGAAGAATGAAATAGTTGTGAAAATAAATACATGTGTTTACAGTCAGTCAATTACTTTTGTAACTAATAAGGGAAGTATCTTCTATACTAAGGCAGGTGAGGCATTCATAACTAGCTCTCTGAGGGTCAAACCAAACCAGGCCTGGAAAGGTTTCTCACTGAAGTTAATGGGATTGAGAGGTCCACCCCAGTGTGCAGTGCAGGATCAGGATGCTAAATGTTACATCTTTTAGGAGATGATCATGCCAGTAAATGTATTTGTTGTGTTGTTTCAAATGGCTATTTATTAACTTTACAAAGCTTGTTTAAGATTTTTCAAAGTAGGGACATTAAGACCTCCCTACTCCCACTAGGAGTTGCCAGTAGGAACAGCAACACTCTTCAGTCACACTACTATAGTTGCTAGTGTGCCTGACCCATTTTAAACTTACTGTCCTCTGTCTTTTCTCTGTAGGTTTTGAAAGATATGCAAAACTTACGACTTCACAACACAGTGTTTTTACTTTGTACTTTGACCACTTGGGAGCTTTACATCTAATTGTTCTGAATGAGTCAGACCCTGATTGTGTGGATATAAATCAACTTAATTTTATTTCTTTACTTCAGGTCAGTTGTCTAACAAAATGTAATAAACTTGTAAAATATTCTTAAAACCCACAGAGAGATGCTTTTTAGGGATGTACAAAATGGGCCCTATTCAATTAAGATTCAGATTTGGCCCGAATTGGGGACAGTAATTCAATTTGTTGATTTGGACCACTGTCCCTGATTCAATTCGGCTGAATCTGAAGATTTGATGCTGATTCGGAGAATCAGCAATTCGGCCACAGACACAGCTTTAAATGTTTTTTCTACATACCTCGAGGTACCAGGTGCAGCTCGTGACCACTGCAATGCTGGGATGGATGGAGCATCCCACAGGAGGACAGTGTGGGCCCCCACATGATTGGCAGCAAACCCAAAAGTGGACAAGAAGTACTTCCGGGTGTGCTGGGGATCACGGTGGGGGCTCCCCGGCACCTCCCCCCCCACCAGCTTGACAATTGGCCATGGGGGGAACCCCCGGGGGCCCCCCCAGACCCAGGAGGCACCAGTCACCAAACTGGGGAAGTGCATGGGGGGCCCCCAGCACACTCCCCGGCAGACCCAGAAGTGGACTGGAAGTACTTCTGGTACACTTCTGGTTCTGCTGCCGAGCATGCTGGGGAGCCCCCTGCATTCCTGTGGGATGCTCCATCCACCCCAGCATTGCAGCATTCGTAAGCCACCTGCTACCTAAAGGTATGTAGAAAAAACATTTAAAGCTGTGTCTATATTCAAATCGCTGAATCTCTCAAAATCGATTTGGAGGGTTCCGATTTGATTTGGAGAGAGTAAAGGGTCCTTTGATTTGATTCAGATTCAGAGATTCGACCACCAAATTGGGCCAAATCTCCACCAAATCGAATCAGGGACTGAAGCTTTGCACAGCCCTAATGCTTTTCCTTCCCCATAAACAAAGTGCAAGAAAAGGATGGGCTCTATCCTCAGCCCCAGAAAGTGTAAAGTGACAGTGCAGTCCCTGTATTTGCATTTTCAGTCCATGAGAAGGAGTAATGAGCAGTCTTTTTGCACCTTTTTGCAGAGTACAAAGAAGTGCAGATCCTCTAGTTCCTCTCTCCTTCCTAATGGAAACAATCATCATCTGATTATCTTCCCTCTAAAGTAAGCAGGCTCACAAAGGCCACCTTTCACTGGCTGGTGAGATCATGCTGTACTTAGCTGTTGTAGAGGGTTTTGAGTGTATGCTTTGGCCATGGTGATTTTCACCTTAAGGAAAGAAAAGAGAGATTAGCAAAACTGCTACATGCTAAGGATGCAGTAGGAAACTGGTATAATACTGTTAAATCAAAATCTCTCAAATTAAGAAGGCATCAGTACAATTTGTATTTTATATTATTTAACAAAAGAAGACTAAAGATAACCTTCTCTCTCTTATTCTAGGAGACTGACTTAGGTTTTGATAACCCATTGGTTGTACAATATGTCACTGAAGAGCAAGTGATATTTTTTCAACATATCGCCTTGAATAACAGCTCAAGTGATAGACCAGAGCCCAGATTTACTCATGTACATAAAGACCAAATACTAATTCAAGGGTAAATATCAATGATGTATCTAAAGTTAATATAGCAGGTATTAATCAGCTAAAATGACATTGCCAAATTCATTATCGTAGTTTTTATTTTAAAGCATTTAAAATACTATTTTAGGAACTTGGAAATATTTGGCAAAACTCTGCCCTCCATAAAATGGGCAAACCCTTTGGTTTCTGTAGGATTGCATAAGTAGATTAATATAAATTTTTCTGTCAGTTATTACTTTTCCTATTCTATAAATGATGGGTTCAGTCTTGCAGTCCTAGTTCAAGCAAAGCATATATTGAAGACTTGTGGATGCCTTGTCACCACTGAAAAGCTTTTATTTGCCAATTGCTAACAGAAAAACTTCAGAAATTTGATTTGCTTGCCTTCTGCTTGGCCAATAGAATGCTAGTAGTAAACAATCAAGGTAAAATGGCACAGTCATGGGGAAGATATATATGGTATAGGAATGGTGTTTCTTAGACTACTGAGTTTAATGTGACTTCTCACATGCAAATTCTGCTTGATGGAAAAGTGTAGGTTGTGGTCCTTGAATTTTTGTTTGGAGTTTTAGTGCAGGCCAGAATGACTCTGCTTGGGTTAGAAGGCAGACACTAGAACCTGGCCACTACTGCTGCCACTTCACTACACAGCAGTGTGAGGAAGAGTTCTCATGGCCAATACTTCTTCCTACGGTAGTACAAAGAGAGTGACTACCACCAAAGCCCCCTGCTGCCAAAAGGTGCCAAAGTCTGTAGGTCAAACAGAATGACTTTGCAAGCCACCAGCCCATGGATCTTTGGTTGTCATCCCCTATTTTACTGGATTTTTCTATTTATTATATTAGCTTTTTATTTAGTTTATTCTCGTACACTGATAATAGGCACTAAATCCCTGTAGAGGCCTGTGCCTGCTGTAGGCGTTATCTGGCCTCTGACCTCTGCCAAGAGACTGGCAACCTACAGGTGGTGACAGGGTGGACTCTAGAGTAGGATTGCCTGGTCTGCCCGGAGGATGATCTTTTTCCTCCCACCTGCCATGACTAGATGGAATAAATTCTTAGGAGGCGGTTCCCTGTGAGTGATCTTCCTGGGTCCAGTCCCTGTCTTCTTTGTGGGGCTCCAACCTCCCGTTTACCCTACCCTAACCACTCCAGTCTTTGGTGGAGTTGAATCTAGGCTGAGGACTGATGATGAATGCCTCAGTGGCTCAAAAATATAGCATGGTCAGTAGCTAGCAGCCTCGGGGCACAAAGCCCAATGTGCAGCAGCAGCCGCCTCACCCCGTGCACAGAGCAGGGGGCCATGTGCCCCCGGGGTCTCTACCAGGGTGCATGCAGCAGCAGGAGCCCCCATCCTGCACACCTGGACGAGTCACCTCGGCTCCGACCCTCCCCTGGCCCAGCCCAGCTGGGACCCCATTCACCCGGTGGCAGGGGGCACAGAGGGGGATCATCCAACTCACCCAGCCTGGCCCCAGTGGCAGGTGGTGCAGTTCAGCCTAGCCATGTGCATCCTGCCACTCATACGTCCTGCTGCTCCCGGACTGCATCCCGTCCACTCCCCACGTGCATCCCACTGCTCCCAATTGCAGAGCCTCTGACAGTCGATCTCAGTCTGGGGCAGCTAGCCCCCCAAATTGAAATCGACTGCCAGGGGCTCCCCAATCGACCAGTCGATCGCAATCAGCTGGTTGGTGACCAGTGCTGTAGAGGTATCTCATTCAGAATTTGATAAAGCCATGATGAAATCCTTGTTTTGCTATTCACCAAGCACTCTCCTGTTTGTCAATCACTAGAAGTGGAGCACACAATGGCAAACACTGAAAGAATTCCTGTTACAATACAGGTAAGTATTTTCTCTTTGTTTGTCTCAGAATACGGACAAAAGAGTTTATAGTTAACAAAGCCAAACTGCATCCATGCTGTGCATATGTTAGTTACTTCCATTAACAGTTTAGTCTAATAATGGATATGTGCTTTTGTTAATGTAGGTCAGTAGGATCAGGTGTGATAGTCAATATTTTCCAACATGACCATCATCCATACTATTTATCTTCAATCATCCTAGACATTCTGAAAAAGTTTCACATTGAATCTGAAATAGACAGTCCTTGTGCAGTGAATGTGTTAACTATTTTTAAGGAATCAGACAGCAGCTCAGTTAGGCTTCATATTTCAAAATCTGGTAAGTATCGATATTGTAAGATATTGACTGTAATGGGGATAGTTTAAAAAACTCATATGTAAACTTTTACAGAAGTCTCCCACTCTAGTTGCATCAGTGTATGCTACGTTTAACCTCCATAAAAAGGACTTCATGTGTCAGGTGTATTAGTTCGAACTGTTTCTTCCCCCTATTTCATTATGGCTAGATTTTTTTCACATTTCATTTCCAAGGCATATGGTTTTTGAATATCAGACAGATGACTATTTCAAAGTTTGTTTTTTTCCTTCTTTTCCCTAAAATTGTATATGTTTATTGTATCCAAATAGTTTATATTACTGTATTTTCTTACATACTACACATTCTCCAGTAAGACCTTGCTTTGGGAAGGCAAAATGACAAACAAGATTTTTCCATAGCTGAATGATGACAGCAGGGGATCCAGACTTCGGTGGCTGTGAGAGGGGTAATGCTGTAGCTCTGTCCCTGAGGGATGACCTCTACCCTCTCCCTCACTGAGGCTGGCAAGGGAAAAAGCACAGCCAGTAGTGAAACAAAGTAGGGAGGGCAATCAGGCCTGCTCATGGTCAGATAAATTGCCATATTTGAGGTCAGGAAGAAATTTTACCCTGTGGCCAGACTGGTATTGACTGTGGGGTTTTGCCTTCCTCTGTAGCAGGAGTGTGACCCTCTTCCTGGAATCTCTTAAGAATATATTAACTCTGAAAGCAGGAAGACATCAGTTTGGCCAAAAATCTCATGATTTTTGGTGCTGTTCTTCATAGATTTCATAGACATTAGGGCTGGAAGGGACCTCGGAAGATCATCGAGTCCAGCCCCCTGCCCAAAGGGCAGGAAGTCAGCTGGGGTCATAGGATCCCAGCAAGATAAGCATCCAGTTTGCTCTTGAAGGTGTTCAATGTAGGCGCTTGAACCACCTCCGGCAGCAGGCTGTTCCAGACCTTGGGGGCTTGGACAGTAAAGAAATTCTTCCTTATGTCCAGCCTGAAACGGTCTTGTAGTAGTTTATGACCATTCGACCTAGTCGTCATCCCTTGGGGCGCTCTGGTGAACAAACGTTCCCCCAGATACTGGTGGTCACCCCTGATAAATTTATAGGTGGCCATCAGATCACCCCTGAGCCTGCGCTTTTCCAGGCTAAAGAGCCCCAGGGCTCTCAGCCTGTCATCGTAGGGTCTGCTTCCCTGACCTCTGATCATGCGCGTGGCTCTTCTCTGGACTCTCTCAAGCTTCTCCACATCCTTTTTGAAGTGTGGAGCCCAAAACTGGACACAGTACTCCATCTGCAGCCTCACTAAGGCCGAGTACAAGGGGAGAATGACATCCTGGGATTTGGAAAAACTTAGCTCTTTCTTTTAAAATATATATAAAAGAAAGAGCTAAGTTCTTTTTTTTCACATTCCCAAAGTGTAGACTTTAAGAACAATGCCAAAAATCATGACAGTTGGCAATACTGCATCATCTACTGTGGTCCCCCTGCTTTACCTATAACAGGTTAGGGTGTTGTGTAAAGGTTGATTGTGTAGTTTTGCTAAGAGGTTAGTGTAACTTGGGCTATGGACAAACATTGAAAAAACCTGAGCGTGAATTGATTCAATCTTTGCAAGCAGAAAATGAAGAAGGGCAATGTCTGCAAGGCCAGGGACCCACAGCCCAAGAGGGGTGCAGCCTGAGAGGGGCATGACCAGAGCCCAAGCCCGGAAACCAGGTCCAGTGTATGGGCCTAGACTGAGAGGGGCCAGAGCCCAGAAACCAGGTCTGGCATAGTGGGCCTAGGCTGAGAGGGGCAGCCAGATAAAAAGAGGCCAAAGCCAGGAAGGCAGTAGCTGCAACAGGGGCATGGAGGCCTGAGGAGGCCTAAAGTGATAACTGGTAACATCTGTTAGGCATGGGCATGGCTGTAGGGATGGAAGGAGAACACAAATAGACCTCAAGACAACTGGTACCCTGGGGTGTAGACAGGCCAGAAGGGCCCACCTAGTGCTCAAGAGGCAGGACTGGGACCAGCTGGATCCAGGGGGCCTCTGCTGGCTGACAGACAGACATAGCTGGCTCTGGGACCCTAGAGCAGCCTTCCTTTTTACAAATTAACTAATTGCATCAAGGTATAGCAGATGAGAGAAAAGGGAAGGTACCCACAGAGCCAGAGCAGGGCAGAAGCCATGTGACCACCATCATCACAGTTTTTCCTGGGGTCCAAACCTACTACAGTTAGACAATGGATTTATATAGGATATTCTGGATAGGGATGATCCTGCCTCAGGCAGCAGATTGGTCTAAATGACCTCTCAAGGTGCCTTCCAGCCCTACTTCTTTATAACTATAATTCTCACTGATTCTATGATTCCACAGTTATCTCTCTCCCTTAGATTATATATTGATAATATCTAACATCTGTCAAGAGGTACAGTTACCAGAGACTGTACCCTTGGGTGCTCAGGACTAGTGCTCCAGTCATCCACCCCTCATTACAATACTGCCTGTTCCTGAAAGCCCACTACAGTTCTTTTGTTGAATCCAAGAATAATCCAAGAATAACCCCAAGAGGGGTTACAAAGACATCTCTGATGTTTTGGCAAAGAATGGACAAGCTAAGAGTCACAATGTAGCGGAATCTCTCCAGAAGTGCGGGAGAAGACTGGAAGAGATTCAGGCAAATATTTGCAGGATTCTTGGAAGCAAGTAGAGCTACGGAATAAGATGAGGAACAGGGGGCAACCATTTTTCTGAAGAGGGCCATGTAAGCAGGTACTTTATGGGCACTGACAGAAGTGATATTTGTTGCACAATTGGCCCCCTGAAAACGCTCTACAGCCATGCCTTGACAGAAGTGCACAGCTGCAAGAGCACTTTAAAAGTGCCCAATCACACAACAAATTAACCCTCATTTAATGTGGGTTCAGATTTATTAAGGGTTCAGATGAAGGTGCTCCAAAATGGAGCACCTTCATTAACTGCTGTTTGTCCCTGCCCATGAACAGGGCTGGGCTGCATCAGCCCTGCTCCTGGTACTGTCTTTAGGATGGCAGCGGGAGGGAGCTTGGTTTGAGGACAGGGCAGGTGGATTGGAGCTTCCAAATTTAGACTGAACAAACCCCAGACAAAAACTCCCTCACCTGCTTTCTCTCTCCTCCCATCCTGAAGACAGCACTGGAGCTGGGAGTGAAGGGCAGGGCAAGGGGAGAGAAACTGCAGACACACAGCCTCTCTCCACTGGATCAGCTCCAAAGTAGAGCTTGATTTCCTCTCCCCTCCCCACCAACTAAACAGTGAACATCTGTTGGGTCTGGGGGGAATGGGCATTGCTGTAATTCATGACACTTTCAGTGAAGCACCATGAGTTACAGTGGGGAGCTGCATGTCTGTCAGTGCCTGAAGTTGCTGCCAATCAGCCAGTTGGTCCTACCAGCTATTGGTCCTACCAAATAAACTTCAGTCTCAAGTAACACAAATAGAGCAAACCAAATCCTCCATCCTCTCTGGACATTAAGAGAAAAACCACTTTCCACTCGGTTTTCCCAGCACAGCAGTTTAGCTTCTCCTCCTTGCAAACTGTTCCCTCACAGTCTGCCACATCTGCTCTCTCCTCTGGGTTTTAACATCCCAGTGGGACACTCCTTTATTATCTCCTTTCTGAAGGTCCTTACCAGAATTCACTTCCCCTTTCTAAGGGGACAGGCCACCCTGTTACAGGCAGGTACAGAGGCAGTAACTATGTTCTATAGTTTTGCTCTGATTGAAAGCAAATAACCCAGTTTTGAGACAATAATGACTATATTTAAAGAATATTGTATGACTAAAACAAATGAGGATTTGGGGAGGCATTGGTTTCAAGACATCAAAGAGGAGGAGAGACTTTTGATTGTTTGCTAAGTCAAGAATGCAGTTTCAAAGACCAGACTTAAATTTGGTTCAAGTAGTTTGAATCTGCCAGGCTGCTGAGCTAAAACAGCACAGAACACAAGTTTTGGATGGCAAACAAGACTCAGCTACTGTTGAGCTGATTACAAAGCAAATAAAGTTGCAAACAATAGAAAATAAGCATGATGTTTCAGGCAAGGAAAGCTGCTAGTGTCGCCAAAAGTATGTTAACTGCAAGCAAAGAGTGAAAGCAGCTTTTAGCAACATGAAGACTGCAGACAGTAGGCACGTCTACATACGGTGCACTACGGCAACACTGCAATCACGTGGGTCTACATATGATTGCCTGTTACACTGCCGTAGCAGCACACTCCCCGTGTATGGTGCACTGCTATGGTGATGTAGCAGGGAAATCTAAGCATGCTCTGCCTGCACAGTGCAGTAACTGCCCGTACTGCGCCATGCTTTAGCACAGCACCGTAGCAACATCACCGTATGGTGATATGTAATGCACCCACAATGGAAGAAAATACAGACCTAGACAATATTCGGACTATAGACAGAAATGTCATGCAGGAAGTTCTCTTAGCACTTAGAAATGAAAAGAAAGGAAGAGATTTTGCTGCAAATGGCAGATGCTAAATATTTCTCCACACTAGATGCCTCATATTGGTCCTTAGGTACCTCAAGAAAAAAAAAAGCAACTAAGGTGGCTACATTCCTACAAGCCTCTTAAAGGGCCAATATCTTTAAATCTGCATATTGCTTTAATTCCCTTTTTGAAGTCTCCAGCTGCTTTAGATTTTGTTTTACTTTATTTTGGGCATCTTTGACTTCTGTGAACATCTCCATTATCTGTTCCCATATTGGTCCACCAAAAAACAAATTATATCTTCTCTGCCTGGAAACTTCATGTGGTTCCTGATGTTTGTTACTCTTTTTCCTACCAGAATGCTCCATTAAATCTGTAAGTTCACTTACCCAAAAATACTTTACATTAGATCTAGGACCAGTTGTTAGTTCCTGCTGCAGTGCACAAATAAACTTCAAAGCAGACTTAAGTAGCTTTCTGAGGATTTTCCTACCAAGTCAGTATCCCATACTGTTACAGGGCTTGTATAGCAGGTCCTATGTCACTTGTGGCTGACCCTTCCCAGCAAAAAGGCATAGTTGAAGCAAAGGTGGTTTGGTCAGAGAGCTTCCACATCTATTCAGTGCTTGGTTATTGTAATGGCACTTGGTGCTCTTAGCGGGGTTTTTTATTTGGTTGTTAAATAAAGCATTTCAAAATGAACTATGGGCACCATCTTATGAAACTGAGCACTCTCTCTTCCACATTAAAATTAGGTGCTCAGCAGTTCACAGGACCAAGTTCCTTGTTTAATGAAATGTATTGCTGTTATAACTAACACGAAACCTTGAAACCCAATATGAAATATTGTTCATAAACTCTTACTGATGAATATTCTTTTACTGAATACAGATTCTGCCACTGTCATTCATATTGAGTAATAACTTAATTCATGCATGTTTATATGAGTAGAGGGATAAAATACCAGTACTGTCAGGGTGCAGCCAGGTGCCCTGGGACAAAGTGGAAGTGGGGATTTCAGTTTCATGTTGCAAATACAGAGCTGCCAGCAGCAGCCTTTTTTTTACCCCTCTCCTTCCCAGTCAGCATCCAAGTCAGTTGCCCCTATCGCCCCCACTAGTTATTCCACTGTAAAATACAGCTCAAAATAAGTAAGGGTGCCATAACTTGATCCAAGATTTGCATGCTAAAAATTAATAAACAGAAAATGTAACTATTCTATTTGCTTCATTTTAGAGGAGGGCAAAAATTTTTCTATCAGCAAAATATTCATGCAGTCTGATATAGAAAAGAGTGTGGTGATTCCAGGCTATAGCAGTTTCTTGATCATTGAGATTAAAGATGATCTGAATGCTTTGGCTCATCCTACGATGCCTGACAAAGTGCCTTTCAACAAAAGTTTCCAGCCATATACATGGTTCTTATATGACTTTGGTACTAAGAATGAAAGACAATGGAAGATTAAGGTAGATGATTGTAGGTACTGGATACAAGAAGTTAGTGAGCTACCAAAGAATGCCATTAAATACATGGATCTTGGAGAAGTCAACACATTTACATTCAGAGTAACTCCTGTTGATACAGGTAAGAAATTTGAAATGTATTGTTTATTTTTGAGCTCTAGTTTTCTTTCTGGAAGGTGAAAGAGATGGGCTTGAACCACCTCAGGATGATGAGACCATTTAGCCTGGTTCTCCCATGTCCTAGGTGAGTTCTCTAGCTAGTATGTTATTCTACCAGGGCAGGGGCAGGCAATCATTTTGAGTGGAGGGTGGCTTACAATGTTTAGGCAAGCTGTCAAGGGCTGCATAGGTAGCCCTGCCCTTTGACAGGTGCATTCCCCTGGTTGCCATCTTGTGATTAGAAATCCCACCCCCTAACCCCTGGCTTTTGCCACCAGAAGGCCCTCCCTTTGCCCCTGGAAATACTCCTTTCAGCAAGGGTTTTTGCCATCTCAGAACCAGAAAAATACCAAATTATATTCTAAAAATTGAACATCTATTTAATTTGATTTTAAAAAATGTCCTGATTTACATGTTTGTGTAGTGCACATAGAAGTGATTGCTTAAAATGAAGTCTTACTTTTGTATATTGTAGGGGGTGGGGGACATGGAAGGGTAGGTATAGGTTTGTTGGGGGGCTGTTGGTGTGTGGGTATGTGGGGTGTGGGTAGGTATGGGATTTGTGGGAGGCTGTGTGGGGGGAGGGTGGCTGGCATGTGTGAGGAGGTGTGGCCTGGGGGCCTGCATGTATAGCAATGCAAGGGACAGGTGCATGTGTATGGTGGGGTGTGCGTGGGACTTGCCCGATGAACAAACACACACATACACACGCACACACACGCTCTCCCTGCATCCTCACCACACACACACACACACACACACACACACACTCTGTCTCTGCCTCCCCCCCTCATACACAGCACGCACACACACACACACACACACACACACACAGTCTCTCCCTCCCTCATTGCTCTCGCTGTCTGTCTCTCCCCCTTCCTCACTGCAGGGACGCATGTGCATGCAGACATACACACACACACACACGTGCGCACACATGTGAGCACACACATGCACACACATGCACACACGCACATGTGAGCACACACATGCACACACCTGGGGTACTGGCATGGGCCCTCTTCTCCTGCAATCTGGTGATGCAGCCATGGGCCATGTGGTGCTGGAGCTGCTGACTGGCAGGCAGGGAAGCAGTGAAAGCTGCAGCAGGCAGAGGCTTCCAGTTTGGGGGGGTGGCGGTGGGAGGGGGCTGGAGGCCAGGCGGGGCTGGGCTGGCCTTGCTACTGTTAGCTTTCCCTGCGTCATACTGCCCCTGGCTCTTGTCATTTTTTACAGGAACCAGGGACAGATAAATATAAATTTTCTAAATTTTTAAGGGTCCCCGTGGGCCAGATGGAATGGCCTGATGGGCCAAATCCAGCCCACAGGCCATATTTTGCCCACCCCTGTACTAGAGAATGGGTAGTGCTATCACTACCAGTACCACCACCTCTGTTTTAAAAATGAAATAGCTATAAATAAGTTTGCTGGGGGCATATCTTGTTGTGGGGGAATGAGGCATGTTCTAAGCACACCAATCAGATCAAGTCTCTGAGAGGACCTATTCAAAGTCAGATTCAGAGAAGAGAGTGAGATGATCAATGAGGTGGTTAGCTATGTTACACTTAAGTCAGGCAGAATTTAGGACAGGGTATCAAGGTGAGACTAACCAGTTCAGAGAGGCATGAGCTTTTGTAGGCAACAACCTACTTTGCCAAAGGTTATGGTAGAAAGAAATGGTTTTACATGGAAGAGAAAGGGACAGGGAGGAGACCATGTTAAGAGATGTAAAAGTAGGTTGACTGGATCAACTGACAATTAATATCTTGAGGGGCACTGGAGTTAACAACTAGTTCAGGTAATGTGATAAGAATTCATAGTCCCTGGTGAGACTATAGTTAAGTCAAGTCTGTAGATGATTTATTCTGCCATTTTGCATTCAGGCTGGTTTTTGAAGATCTTTTAAGGACAGTCAGTGATGGTCAGTGACGGAATGTCTGGGGAGGTTAAAATGCTCTGCTGCAGACTTTTGTGTGTTTCTGGAATTGATTTTGAATCAGTGTCCATTAATTCTTTTACTTAGAGGTTGCCCCATTTGACCAATATAGACAGAAGAGAGGCACTGTAAGTGAATGATTACATATATGATGTTGATGGAAGAGTGTGAATGTGGAGGAAACTTACCGGAGGCAGGAGAAAGGCGGCAGGATGCCGCGCCGGTGGCTGGCAGTAGTGAAAATGAAAACACGGCAGTGGGAGTTGCCATGGACCAAGATCAAAAGGAAAACCTGAGGTGGAGCCAGGAGGAGCCAGGAATGGCTCCCATGTCTGTTTGGACACGCTTTGTAAAAGTGTGCCAAGGGTGATTGGCCAGGTGGCCACCCAGTGCCAGGATAACAGGCCCAGCAGGAAGGAAGCTGGGGGGACTGGAAGTAGTGTCCCCAATTGGCCCAGAGAGGCCAGAGAGTGCCAAGGATCCTACGGAGGAGGAGACATGGTGGCATCCCAGAGGGGAACCACGGAAGGCAAGTTGGGCCAGCGAGGACCCAAGGAGTCACCTACGAGGCTGGCGTGGGCGGAGGCTGGCAACAGCAGGGGCTAGGACACCAGTGGAGACAATGGAGCCAGAACCCAGACACAGACACCAGACAACAGGTACCAAACCCAGGGTGGGAACAACGCACCAAGGGCCGTCCTGAGGCCCGGGCAGAGTCAGGCACCGCGTGAACTGGGAGATACCGAAGAGTGGTGGTGGCCACTCAGTGCAAGTATCACCTGTAGCCCACAGATGCAGCCCCTAAGTAACTGACTGTCAGTGAGGGCCAGAACACCAGCCCCGATGGACAACATCACGGTTGGTGTTAGGCAGGGTGTAGGGGAGGTGGAGCCCCAAGAAGCAATAGCCACGAGCATGACCGAAGGGGAGTACCAGGGGAGACAGGACCAGACACCATCCTCCTGCTAGAAAACCAATCATCATCAAAGACATGGCAGGCGAGACCCCTGGGGAGCTGACCCAAGGCCGTTCCCAGTAGCCTGGCCGTGCAGCCCAGAAGGTGACAGCAGGTTTGAAAGAAACCCAGACGCATGACGCTCAGGGGGAGAGGCACGGAAAGCTACAACTTGGTGCATTGGCCGGTCACGATGAAGCCAGGGAAACCCTGGAGGCTGATACGGTTATGGAAGTGAACCTAAACCCCCAGATCAAATTGTTAGGCCAGATATTGCATGCAGTGTCAAAAGTTCTTGAGGTCCAACAACAACAAGCCATCCAACAACAGGAATGGATGCACTGAAACTGGACCGCTTTCCGAATGCATCGTATGATGTTAGAGGATGATGTAGAGACCTACATTGAATCTTCCAAGAGAATGGCGATCCTGGCTGGGGTGGACTGGCTGCAATGGGCCAGCCAGCTCAGGTCCCTAGTATTGGGCAAGACGCAGGCCGCTTATAGGGTCTTGCTGTGGGAAGAGGCTTACGATTACAAAAAAGTCAAGGTGGTGATATTACAGCAGTTGGAACTCTCCCCAGACCACTATCGCAGGCTGTTCCAGGCCTGAAAGAGCAAAGAAGACTGCAGGCCCCAAAACTTGAGGCAGTTATGGAAAGATCTTAGATAAATGGGTGCCACCAGGAAAGGTTGATCGAGCAGCCCTAGCTGACCAGATCCTACTGGAATAATTTGTGAAGGATCTGGATGAGGACACCCAGCTATGGATGTGCCAACATTTTTCTTGGATGACCGCTGAAGCCTTAAGGGTTGCAGAGGCTTTCACTACCTCAGAAGGGGAGCCACTGCGGAAAAAGAACTACAGAAGTACAGGAGCGACTCCTAAGAGGGAGGATGAGACCCGGCGGGGACCTGTATGCTATAGCAGGTGAGGAATTGTATGTTACCAGTGTGGTAAGACATGGCACGTGTCTTGGGAATGTGCCTTAGGGGCCCCAGAGAAGTGGAGACCCACCGGAGAGGTGACATGGTTGAAGGCGCACCATGAGGTCCATGAACCAGTCGTAGAAATGGGCTGTAGCTTCAGGCATTGCAAAGAGGTAGAGGGATGGGACCGCCCGATGGTGACAGCGTGGGTGGCAGGCAAGCCACTATGGGCTACGCTGCTCCTAAACACTGATACGGGCCGGGGCGATCCCCCTGAGTGTCATTGAATGGTGCCCTCCAGTCCGGATGCGCTGCATACACGGCAAAACCAAATAATACGAAAGGGGCTTTGTGGACGTGAGGATTGCCAGTCGCAAAGGCAGATTACTCATCAGTCTGGCTCCACAACTGGATGGCCAGATGATTGTAGGAAGAGATTGGCCACCCCTCTGTGAAATATTAGAAGAAGTGCATATTGAAGAACTAAGACAGGGAAGACCTGAGAGGAAGGTTGGATAGCAGAAGAGGATTCGAATTTATCCAGCGAGGAATAGTAGGTTAGCCTTGGGATGAGCACCGAGGACATGCACTTTCATACGGCCCAAGAGGAGGACAGCGAACTACAGAGGATCCGGGAGATGGAAGTGGCCCTGGTGGAAGAAGTTTCCATACAGCCTGGGATGGACATAAGTGACACTTATTTTTGGATATATCAGGGTTTGTTATATGAGGTGGCAAAATGCCCAGTCCAAGGGGAGTGGACCCAACAGCTAGTAGTCCCTAGGAGACTCCATGAGAAGGTATGGAGGTTGGCACATGCCAGCCTGATGGGTGGTCACCTCAGGGCAGACAAGACCAGCAGGCATTGGGGGAGTCCCTGTTCCCCCGAACACTACCAGGAGTAACAAGAAATAATGGTCACAAGCTGGCAGAGGGTAGATTCAGGCTAGATATCAGGAGGCGCTACTTCACTGTCAGGGTGGCTAGGATCTGGAACCAACTTGCAAGAGAAGTGGTGCTGGATCCTATCCTGGGGGTCTTTAAAAGGATACTGGATGAACGCCTTGCCGGGTTTGTTTGCCCCCAGTCCTCTTTCCTGCCATGGCAGGGGGTCAGACTTGATGACCTGCTCAGGTCCCTTCCGACCCTGCCAAGTATGAAACTATTAAGACAGTGACCAGAGTGGGGCAGTGGTTTTTCTGGCCGGGGATGAGGGATGACATTATGTGGCATTGTGAGGCCTGCCCAGAGAGCCAGAAGGTCCAGGAGAGACGGCCCCCCTGGGCACCATTACAACCGATGCCCCTCATTGAGGTACCCTTTGATTGGATAGTGCTAGATGTGGTGGGGCCCTTAATCAAGAGTAGCGCTGGGCATTAATATATATTAGTCATCATTGACTATGCTACACACTACCCGGATGCTATACCACTGTGATCAGTGACAGCCCCCTAGATCACGGAGGAATTATTAGAATGCGTGTCCCAGGTGGGAGTTCTAAGAGAGATAATCACGGACCAGGGGACAAACTTTATGTCTGGGGTCATCTGGGCCATGTGTCAGCTGTTGAAGATATGGCAACTCTATACCTCGGTCTACCACCCGCAGACCAACATGCTGGTAGAACGCCTAAATGTCACAATTAAATGCCTATTGCGGCAATGTGCCCAGGACAAAACGAGGATATGGGATTTGATCCTAATACTCCTCCTCTTCGCACTGAGGGATGCCCCACAGGTGTCCATGTGGCTGTCCCCATTTGAGCTGATATATGGCCACAAGCCCCGGGGGCTGTTGCAAGGGGTAAAAGAGGAATGGGAAAACACGGGACAGCCCAAAGTTGGGGTACACCACTACCAACAGGAAATGCTAGAGCGGTTAACGAAGGTGAGGCAGCTAGCCCAGGAACATTTGGCTGAGGCCCAGTGGAACAAGCAATGTGGGTATGACAAAGGGGCCCGCACCCGAGACTTCCACGTTGGGGATAAGGTCCTCATACTGCTCTCCACTACCGAAGACAAATTGCTGATGCAGTGGCAAGGCCCATTCGAAATTGTGTGGCAGGCAGGGCCAGTGGACCACAAAGTCCATAGCCCCAGGCAGAGAAAAGAATGGCAAATTTACCGTGTCAACTTATTGAGGGCATGGCAGGAGCCAGAAGGCTGGCTGTTGAGCCCAGAAGACCCCTGGGAGGACCTAGGACCTGAGGCAGAAGAGCTACCAGAAGGGCCAGAACCAGGCGGTCCACCAATGTACGGCTCTGAACTCAACGCCCGCCAGTGCGACCAGTTGGGAAGGATGATGGTAAAGTTCCGGGAAGTATTCGACGAGAGGTCCGGACGGGCCCAAGGGATACAACACGAGATACATACACTGAAGGGGGTCGTCATATGAGAAAGGCGGAGGCCCATCCCACATCATTGGTGAGAGAAGGTCTGGGAAGAGCTACGAAAGATGCTGACCCAAGGGGTCATCATGCCGTCGCATAGTCCCTGGCACAGTCCAATAGTAATAGTGCCGAAGAGTGATGGTACGTTCTGACTATGCATTGATTTTTGGAAGGTTAATGAGGTTGCCAAATTCAATGCCTTCCCCATGCCACATGTAGAAGAACTACTAGAGCGGATAGGGCAGGCTCAATATATCTCCACTATCAACATGGCAAAAGGATGCTGGCAAATCCCCATGGCAGGAAGAGACCAGCCGAAGACAGCCTTTGGCACCCTCTGGGGGCTGTATGAGTTTACACGGAAGCCCTTCGGCCTGCACAGGACCGCTGCAACCTTCCAATGCCTGATGGACCACATGCTAGCCCCACACACAATGTATGCAGCCGCATACATCTACGATGTACTAATTTACTCACAGACTTGGGAACAGCACTTATGCCATGTAGCAGCGGTGCTGCAAGAAATACGCTGGGTAGGCCTGACGGTTAACCCAAAAAAATGCACCTTAGGGGTGCGAGAGACGAATTACTTGGGATTTAGAGTAGGGCAAGGTAAGATATGCCCTGTAGCAAGTAAGATAGATATAATAAAAAGATACCTGCCTCCGCGGACAAAGCAACAGATGCGGGCTTTCCTGGGACTAGCGAACCATTACAGGCAATTCATTTCATAGAGCTAATGGAGGCTATAAGAGGGAAAGTACAGGGCCCCATAAAGTGGACACTTGAGATGGCGAAAGGGTTTGAAGATGTCAAAAAAGATTTGTGTAGTGAAGTGGTTGTCATAACACCCGACTTCTCAAAAACTTTCATTCTACAGACAGATGCCTCCAAGACAGCCATAGGGGCAGTGCTTTGCCAGGAACAAGGGGGTGTAGAGCGCCTGATCACCTATGCTAGCTGAAAGTTAAACAGCACAGAAACCAGGTATTCCACCATTGAAAGGGAGTGCCTAACCATAAAGTGAACTATTTTAGATATTACTTAATGGGGCAAGAGTTCGACCTAGTTACTGATCATGCACCCCTACAATGGCTGAATATTAAGCACAACAATGCCCGGATAACCAGATGGACATTGTCACTACAGCCATTTCAGTTCAAAGTAAGATATCGAGCAGGGTCGGCTAATCACGTTGCTGATTTCCTATCGAGGTGCGTTGAGAGGAAAGAAATGGACAATGAGACGCCCCAAGGCAACTTAAATGGGGGGGGGGGGTGGAGGAAGCTTACTAGAGGCAGGAGAAAGGCAGCGGGATGCCGCACTGGTGGCTGGCAACAGTGAAAGTGAAACCACGGCGGTAGGAGCCGCCGCAGACCAAGATCAAAAGGAAAAGGAAACTCCGTGGCAGAGCCAGGAGGAGCCAGGAATGGCTTCCGCATCTGTTTGGGCATGCTTTGTAAAAGCATGCCAAGGGCAATTGGCCAGGCGGCCACCTGGTGCCAAGATAAAAGGCCCAGCAGGAAGGAAGCCAGGGGGGACCAGAAGTAGTGTCCCCAACCAGCCTGGAGAGGCCAGAGAGTGCCAAGGATCCTACAGAGGAGGAGACATGGTGGCACCCCAGAGGGGGAACCACAGAAGGCAAGTCGGGCCAGTGAGGGCCCAAGGAGTCACATACGAGGCTGGTGTGGGCAGAGGCTGGCAATAGCCAGGGCTGGGACACTGGTGGAGAAAATGGAGCCAGAACCCAGACACAGACACCAGACAACAGGTACCAAACCCAGGGTGGGAACGACGCACCAAGGGCCGTCCCGAGACCTGGGCGGAGTCAGGCACAGCGTGAACTGGGAGACACCGAAGGGCAGTGGCGTACGTTCAGTGCAGTTACCACCTGTAGCCCATAGCCGCAGCCCCTAAATAACCAAGTGTCAGTGAGGGCCAGAACACCAGCCCTGACAGACAACATCACGGTTGGCGGTAGGCGGGGTGTAGGGGAGGTGGAGCTCTGAGAAGCAATGGCCACGAGGATGACCAAGAGGGAGTACCAGGCAAGATGGGACCTGACACCATCCTCCTGCTAGAAAAACAATCATCATCAAAGACGTGGCAGGCGAGACCCCTGGGGAGCTGACCCAAGGCTGCTCCAGTAGCCTGGCTGTGCAGCCCAGAAGGCGATGGCGAGGTTCAAAAGACACCCAGATGCGCGATGCTCGGGGGGAGAGGCACAGAAAGCTACAGTGAATTAATCTCAGATGTTATAATTCATATTGTTTGATCCAGTGATGATGTGGTCTGCATTAATGAGAGGCACAGCAAGTCCTAGTGGTTTAGTGAGAATTGGAGTTAGGTAGTCTTTTACTCCAAAGATATCATTTAAGGTTGGGAGATGTTTGTAAACCAGGACAGACTTGTCCCCCAGTGGTAGACTGAGATGGTCATCATTGTCCAAGAGGTGTTGGAAGTCATAAGTGGTGTGTTGCAGGTGTTCAAGCTGGGGGCTGTAAGTAATGACTTGAGGGATTCTCTTGTCATTATTATGGGGTTGATATTGGTCAGTGGGGGGTCTTAGTCTGGCTCTGTTGATTTAAGTGGCTATGGTTTTGGAATTGTACTGTAAGTGTAGGAAACCCTGTTCTAGAGTCCTCTGGTATCAGTGGGATCAAAGCAGATATGGCTGTAATATAGAGCTTGGCTGTAAAAAATGTCTCTAGTAATTATTTTGGTTGAAGACCTATAGCATGATCACTATAATAAAAGATAACAGGAAATATGAAGATATGACTTTTGAACCCACCTTCTGCATAATGCATCAATGGCAATGAGAGATCAAATAATAAATTCAGCCAAATGAAGAAGCAGTTACTGAAGATGAGGAGGACATGCTGAGCTATGTGTAAGGAAAAGGCCATTCCTTTTCCTGTTCTTAGTCACAGAGCTTGCATTTTGAATGGAGCTCTTTGCTTAAATGATTATTTCCTAAGTGTTTCTATAACAAGGAAATATAGGATTCCAAGTCATTATTTTCATTTTTATTCTTTGTTTCACAGGCTTTCCAGTTTTTCATATTCCATTGATGAAGGTAGTGGTTGGAAATCCTTCCCTAGTTGAAGTGGAAACCAAAGAATACTGGGATGATACTGACAGTTACATAATAGAATTCTCTGTTATAAGCAAGTTTTATAAACAAGTAAGAACAGACAAATGATAAGTAATATCCTGTCTCCTACAATAGTATCTGTTTTATTTAGAAATGTTTTCATAATTGAAAGGCAGACCTGAAGATTATGCATGCATCAGGGACTGGTGTTACTGTAGTTTTGTTTCATATAGAATACATACATCCAGTCATGTGAATTAACTAGTTAATTAACTAGTTAAAAAGTTAAAGAAATGGCTAACTTTTAACTTTAAATAGTTAAATTTTTCAGTTGTCAACTTTTAACTTTAACTAGTTAAAAAAAAAGTTAAAATTAACTTTTTTTAAAGTATAAGTTAAAAGTTTTAAAAAATTGAAATATAGTTTTCCCAGAGTTTTTCCTGACAGCCACTCTCTAGGACTTACAGGGAACAATATTTCTTTATTGAAAGTCTAGGACTTCTTGATGAGAGACAGAGTAGTGTGCCTTCCTATGAGATATGGTCTCTTAAGAACTACAAGTCCCAGAGTTCCTTAGTTCATCCTGGCATTTTCAGAAGTCAACAGGGTAGCCAGTTGGCTGCAGGAGTGGGAACAAGAACAAGCAAGCAGAGACATTGATCGCAGTAGGAGTGGCAGCAAGTAGTCAGGGTGAAGCAGATGATGACTTTTTTAATTTTAATGAAGATCAGAACCAGCAGCCCAGGGCCCAAGAAGTTGAGAATTACTTCTCATCTGTGAAAAACTTATCTGAGATGTCACCTACTATAGAAAAGCTATTTATCTGTTATAACACAAGCATTCCCTCATCTGCCCATGCAGAGCGATTGTTCGGTAGTGGGGGTTTAGTTTTGCAAGACAGATGAGGAAAATTGTCAGATGTAAATTTTGAAATACAGCTTTTGCTGCAGTTCAATAAGCATGATTAAACAGTTTCTGCTATGCAACTGAACATTCTTTTTCTCATTTAAACTGATTTTCTTATTTCAGTCTAATTTTGATTTTCAGACGCTTTCATTATTTCTAATTCAGATATATTTCATACCCTTTTGTTACCTTTTGAGAAATACAAATTGTAACAACAGAGGTTTTCTGTGGAAACAGCTTTAATTTGTCACCTGAATATCTCCTTTCTGTTATTCTGGTATGCCTCTATGATGCATTGACTTTTACAAAGTACTTCACATGGAGAGGGTGAGAAGGATCTAACATTATATAGGTATTGGTAAATTCTTATTCTGAAAACTGTATGACAAGTATAACATTGTTTTTAGGTAAAGCAGGGTGAGTTCTGAGTAAATTAGTGTGCTTCTGTGGGCTTATGGAAAAGAAACCCACTTATTGCATTTGAAAATGAAAAATGATGCCAAGAGGCAATTCACCATGTTTCATGCATTTCTCATGAATTAACTTCACTTTTACCTAATTACTCTCTTTTTAACTTGCCTTTTAACTAGTTAAAAGTGGAAATATTTAACTTTTAACTTAACTCAAGTTAATTTTAAAGGCTGCTAACTTTTAACTAGTTACATTTTTCATAAACTTTTCCCATGACTGCATACATCTGATCAACATTTTACAGAAAGTTATTGCTGTTGATTCTTCACCCTTGCATAGCTCTCATATAGATCTATGAGCTCCACCAGTGGAATGAGTATTGCCCAAGACACATATACAGGCTGTTCTTGAAAATGAATATATGGAAGGTATCCCCTGTCCCTGATGTTTTGTTCTTAATTCTTTCCCCTTGTTGTGATCTATTGCAATTTGTTTATGTTATTCATTACCCTTGCAGTTTATTTTCTGATCTCAGAGTAGAGTCCTTTTCATGTTTGATTTATACATGGGTGTATATGATTTGATTTGCTTCTAGATGTACTCATTTAAGATTAATATATACAGATTGATATATCCCTATAATGTAGGGATGTTAGTGAGAATGTCCCTTGGGAAAGGACCATGATAAGAGTGAAAATCTTAAATTTGTGATATGTGAGTCACCCATCTGGCTTTCCTTTCACAGTGACTTTCAACATATATAGCTCTAAGATTAAAGCAAAAATGATCAAGTAGTAGAGAACAGCTTGGGAAAAAACATGCCTTATTGAAATGCCATTTCTTTCATTCTGACAGTTTGTATATATTCCTCTTCCATTGATGTGGACACTTTCACAGTTGCCACATCTACACATGCACTTGACTGTGGAGTAGACTAATTAGTTGTGGAGTAAAGCATCACTGTCTACACGTGCAACAGTACTGGGCTGCAGTAAACTAATTAACACCACCATAAGATAGTACTGTTCCTATCAGTACTATCAGGGACACTGTTATCTCACGGCAGAGTAACTGACTGCAATTAAATGCACATGTAGACGCTGATGACTGTAGGCGTAAATTGCATCCCATCAGCCCAGGCAGCAGGGGGGCACACTTCTGCCTGCCACCTAGCCACACATCTCTGCACTTTCAGCACCTTCATACTGCAGCCAGCCCCTCCACTGCCAGACACCACCACCCAGAGCCTGGGGCAAGGCAGGGCAGGAATGGGCTTGGTGTAAACTGTTCCGCCTTGGCTCAAATTGTTGCTGTCGTGGGTTCACATGTAGATGCTGCACCCACGTGTAGTTTACTCTTGCTCAAACTGCACCAGAGTTTATTGCTTCAAATTGATTGCACATATAGATGCACCCAGTCACTATAAATGTATGTTATCATAGATAACATTAGCATCAGTAATATGACCTGCCTGTACACAGTATTTACTCACCTTAATTCTGTTAGTCATAATATTCTCCTCTTTTATCCTCCCATTATCCTTAACTCACCCTTTCCCAAAGTGTTATGGTATAAAAGGTGGCTTTGATAACATGTACTTTAAAGTACAGAACTCCTGGCTTTGGTGGAGTTAGTGAAAGAGTGAATTCCCGAGTCAAGGACCCCTCACAAAATACAGCCTGCTCCATATAAAACAGTATAATTTAAAACTTCAGGTTTATTTTATGGGAAGAGATCAGTTTCTTGTTAAATAGTCCCAAACTACATCAAAGTCATCCTCTTGAACTCTTCCCTAATGACCAATAGGCCATGAAAGCAAATCATGAAGCACTACTATAATGTCTATTGCTATAAAACCATTTCTAGAGAAAATGTTATGATCAATAGGTCATTTTTTGTGTTGTTGCCTATGTTCATTTAACAGGCACTCTCTGTTTTGGGTGTACTAATATATTTTCACCATATGAAATTCCACAGGGCAAATCTTCAGTAGCTGTGATACTCACAAGAGCATCACTTATTTGTGACATATCAACTTTTGTCATAACACTAAAAACTGCCTGCTCGTATGGTAAATCTATGCACTACATCCCTCCTGTTACAATCTCAACTGAAAATTGGCTGCATGGAGATCCAAAAGATGACCATGGCTTCAAACTGTTAACACAGCTTCCGGTAAGAAAGAGCATTTGTTACATAATATCTGCAAATCTGTATATAAAGAAAGAAATGGTCAAAAAGCCTCAAGGGAGCTTTTCGTTTTATGCATCCACATAGAGGTATAACATGAGAAGAATGTACCCTCACTCACCTTTCCCCAACTAGGCAGCACACAGAAGCAGCCACATAAGCAATGTGGATCATGGATTGTAAGGTGCTTTGGGAACTGCAGTTCTCTAGAGTGGCAGTGGAGTTTGCTGCTCCTGATGGAGGACTTTCATCCCATTTTTTGTCAACAAAACCTATGTAAAAAGGGGAAATAGTTGCTGATTTTGATAGCACAGAGTTGCTGATTTTGATAGCACAACATTAGGTCAGCTCTTCCTCCAACAGCAACAAACTCCACTGCCGCTCTGTAAGACTATGATTCCCAGCACACCTTGCACCCCATAACAGACACTGCCTGCATTGCTGCAATGTGCAGCTGGGGAGTGCACTGGAGAGTGAGGCACCCCGCTCTCCTCCTTCTAGTGCCCCTCCCTTTAGGCCAGTGATTCTCATCCAGGGTGTCATGGCACCCTGGGGTACCTTGAGAACTTTTCAAGGATGCCACAGGGTGTCATGCAGTGTTAACACTGTTAAGTGTACAGATATGATTCATATGAGAAACTCAGAGATTTCAAATAGGAATCCATAGTGTTAAATACATTCTTCCCTTTTGTGGACTGAGTTATTTGCAACAGAAGAATTGTTCTTTTATTTTCCTGTAGTCAAAAAACAGATGAAAGCTAAGGGTTGGCATTTTCCTAGGGGTGCCTTGAGTCTATTCAGGGGTGCCTTAAGTCTAAAAAGAAAGCCACTGCTTTAGGTGGTATCTGAGGCACATGTCCCTAGAGATATGGGTTTTCCAGAAAATTTTCCAGTGCCCTAAGTAGAACGTCATCTGATTTAACATGTTAATTTAACTTTTATTTAGTAAACAAAACTAAAAAAGTATCCCATGCTAATTTTATGTCCCAGTAGCCATAACTATTTAAACTGAAATATTTGATTAGGAAAAAAAATACAGCACACTTAATGTGGTTTAAATGGTATATTCAAACAAATGCAAAGCTTTATGTGGAAAGAAATTATTTTTATTGGAATACTTGTAAAAATGTAAACACAATACACAATAGCATGTACTTCCCTTACATTGTTTGTTTAAATTGGAGAAAAAAAATAAGGCGCTGAAAACTGTTGACACACTAATTTTAGCACACCCAATAAAGTATGGATATGCTGTGGTTGTCCACGCATCTACTTCAACAGAGTTTAACTCTCTTCCACTGAGGTCATTGTGGCACCTCCACTTTCACTGTCACTACCCGTAGAATCACTTGCATTACTTATTAGTTCCATTTTGGAATCAGATTCAGAACTACTTGAACCACACAGTCTTTCACTAAAGGACAGTTTTACCAATGAGTCTATGGGCAAGGGCAACTTATCATCACACTGCATCTTCTTCACTGATTGTTCTTCTGACTGATTCTCCAGAAGCAAGAGATTTTGAGAAATAGAAACAAGCTTAGCAGTGCATTCATTTGGTTTTGATTTGACCTGCACAGCCAATTAGGTGAATTCATAACTTGATTTTTGGTTGGATTTAGAAGTGCACCAATACATCGGTCCGATATCAGATCAGTACCAATATCAAGAAAACTGGCTGTATTGGAAATTGGCCAGTGCAGTAATTTTGTTTTGATTTGACCTGCACAGCCAATTAGGTGAATTCATAACTTGATTTTTGGTTGGATTTAGAAGTGCACCAATACATCGGTCCGATATCAGATCAGTACCAATATCAAGAAAACTGGCTGTATTGGAAATTGGCCTGATGGGACCAATAATTTGGCCAATAAATGCCCATGCTGCGTGCAGCCACAGCACAGCACTCAGGCAGCGAGGAGCACAGCCAGCAGCATGGAGAGCTGCCTCCAGCTGGTAAGTCTGGTGTGGTGGAAGGGGAGAAGGAGGGAAGGGGCATGGGCGGGGAAGATCAGTGTCCTCCACAGTGAGGGAGGGGACAGGGGCAAGGGCAGGGACTGCCCAGGCAGGGTGTGGGGAAAGGGCCAGAGCCGTGACTTGTGCAGGGGGAGCTGGCTCCTGCCACTGCTTGCACCCTGGGAGGGCATAGGGGTGGGGCATGTGCCTCCCAGATCTGTGTGGGCCAGGGCAGGGCAGGTTGTAGTGAGGGCTGCATGAGGCTCTTCTCAGTGGAGGCTGGGCTCAGAGCAGGTGCCGGCAGTGCTGGGAGGATGCTCCATCCACCCCAAATTTCACCACCGCTCCATTCCCAGCATTGCTGCTGCCAGCCTCCCAGTGCAGCCCCAGCTCTTCCCAGCTGTACCAGGTGGCTGGGAGTGGAGCAGTGGTGAAATTTCGGGTGGATGCAGCATCCTCCAAGCACTGCCGGCACCTGCTCTGAGCCCAGCTCCCGCAGAGAAGAGCCCCGCGCAGCCCTGGCTGCAATCCGTCCCAACCTGCCCTGCACAGATCTGGGGGCACACGCCCCCCTCCTTTGCCATCCCAGGGTGCAAGGAGTGGTGGCAGCCACCTCTCCCCCAGGAGCCACGCCTTTGGTTTCATCCCACCCTACCCCACCTGGGCAGCCCCTGCCCTTGCCCCTACCCCTGCCCCGGCCCCTCCCTCACCATAGGGGGAGTTGATCTGCCCCCCACACACAGCCCTTCCCCCGCTTCCACCACACCAGACTTACCAGCTGGAGGCAGCTATATTGGAAATCAGATCGGTATAGGCCAATATGCCTCCTTAAATATCAGCTATTGGTATCAGCCCCAAATTCTCTATCGATGCACCCCTATTGGATTATTATGTGAGTGTATTTATCTCCCTGTTTATAAATCAATAAAACATATATATACTCTCACACACTTCCTAGGGATAATCACCTGAAAAACATTAATTACAACTTCCATAGTTTCATAGTTTCATAGTAGCTAGGGTCAGGAGGGACCTGAACAGATCATCTAGCCTGACCCCCTGCCACAGGCAGGGATGCATGCT